CCCCCCCCCCCCCCCTTTGTGGAACAGTAAAGATGCTTGCTGAGGATATTGTAGCAAACTTGATATCTTGTCAGCTAAGCATTTTTCTAATTAGAACTCAGAATGATGCATCAACACTCTTAGCTCTTCTGCAGCCTCATCTTCAGCGTACCAAGCTTTGTGACATGAATGACGCTGAGCTGGATCCTGATTATGTCAAGAAGAGAGAGCATTTGAAAGAAGTTGTAGCATCTATTATTCGTCCAAAGATTGTCCAGGGCAAATCTCTCAATGGAAAGGAGTTCGTATCATTCCTTGAGCAGGTTTTTGTGTCTTATCTGTTAACTTTCCTGGTTTTAGTTTAACTGCTTTTGGAGAGCGGTAGAGATTGTTTTAAACTTTTATCTTTAATGGTAAATTGGTTTCAGATACTTGATGCCTTGAATAAAGGAGAGATTTCATCTACGGGATCCCTTGTGGAGGTTTTTAACAAGGGTATTTTAGAGCGGTGTCTAAAACTGTACACTGACCAGATGGCTAACACAGTTTTACCAATACGAGCAGAGTCTTTGCAAAAAACTCATGAAGAGCACAGAGATGCTGCAATGAAAGTTTTTGATGAACAACATTTTGGTCGTCAGCATGCAAAGAGATCAGTTGATCAATTGGACGAGGAGATTGAAAAGGTTAAGATTTAGAGTAGCAAGGCATGGTTTTATGCATCTCTAAAAATTTTGCAATTTTTTGCCTAATTTCATGTTTTTGCAGGAGTATAAGAATATCAAGTTGGCAAATGAATATCAATCCTCAAAGGTGTGTGAGGCTTTTTATACTAGATGTGAAGACAAAATGGACGAACTTCAGACCCTCAGACTTCCTTCAATGGCAAAATTCAACACTGGCTTCCTCCAATGCAACCAAAGTTTTGTAAAAGAATGTGTCGGACCTTCTAAAAGCAAATACGAACAGCGAATGATGAAGGTTTTCCCACACTTAGTTTTTAGCTCTTTCTAACTTCATCATTGGAAATTTTTATTACTATCTTTAATTGTTGTGTTTAATGTAACCTACTCTCAGCAGTATAATTGTCTGTATCTTATAATTATGCAGATGTTGAGGAAGTCAAAATCTTTATTCATTAAGGAATACAATCAGAGACTATTTAATTGGCTGGTGGTTTTCTCACTTGTTATGGTGGTGTTAGGGCGGTTCGTTATAAAGTTTTTTTTGGTCGAGATTGGCGCATGGATACTTTTCATCTTCTTAGAAACATATAAAAGGATGTTTTTGTCCGCCGAGTCACTTTACCACAATCCAGTGTGGCATTCTTTTCTAGCAACATGGGAAACACTTGTGTATAATCCTATCCTTGATCTGGACAGGTAACATGAAATTTTACCTTTTATTGCTTAAATTTTAGTCCCTTTGTTTCAATTTAGATGAGATAGTTTGACTTGATACGAAATTTAAGAGAAAAGATGGATACTTTTGAAACTTGTGGTCTTAAACGCTTAAGGGGTAAAAGCTTTGTGGGATCATGACATTTGTGCGGTTATAAAAGCTTCTTATTAAGGGTAAAATGGATAAAATGAAAAGTTTAAAGTTGAATTATTTCCAATTATAGAAATGTATCATTTTTTTTGAAATGGACTAATATGGAAAGTGTGTCGTATGGAGGGAGTATCATTTTTAAGTATCTTTAAGCATAGTACAAGAGTATTGTAGGAGCCATTAAGCAGAGTTGCTTTCTGTGATGGTCAGTCATGATGTGTTAGATACGGCCATCCTTGTGTATCATGGTCATATGACAGCTAGGCACATTTTGTATAGTAGTTACTTCCTTTTGAAGCTCAAACTGTAAAAAAAATTTAGTTTTGTAGTCTTGAAGTAAAAGTAATTTCTATGTTCCATTTTATATGACATTTCTGTTTTAGTATGTTTCACAAAGAATGATCTTTTTATATTTGGAAACTCTTTAACTTTAAATTTCTCATTCTATATCCTTAAAGACATACTCTTGTAGTCATAGAAATGTCATGGCATGTTTGAGACGACAAATACTGAGAATCCTTTTGTATGTGCCAAAAGTTTCTTTGTTTTTCTTGACCTCCATGTTTAGTCAAACATTGCAATATAAAATGAAACGGAGGGAGTAGTGTTTTAGCAGCGGATTTAATGACGATTGAGGATATTCTAATATTTTTGTTTCTAAATGTTTCATTTGTTTGGTGCTGCAGATGGGCAATTCCCATATATGTGATAGCTGCGATATTTGTGGTTTATTGGCGATGTTATGGGAGAAGGAACATTGGCTCTATGTTGTTGTTACCTGTCTACAGCAATCATAAAGATAGTCGAAGATCAGAGTAGTTTGAACAGTAGCTTCTTAGGTATATACAAATCTTACAAGCTTTTTATTTTCAATTCTCTTTATACCCTTCAATCCAAAATTGGTGCAGAGGATATGTTGTAACATTTGGAAATGTTGTATTGTTATCATTCATTCATTCTCTTTAACCCTTACAATACTGAATACACAGCAGTTTAATTTACTTCCTCTAACATGTAACCATCGTTTACTACCTGTCATTATACAATGAGAATGTTGAGTTAAAAAACTTACTATATATATAAATATAACATTCGTTTTGAATCATATTACAAAGAAAAGTAAGACACATAAATTGAAGCGGACGAAGTATCCTTTTACCGGTGGGCGGGGAGATTTTGAGGGCAGAAATAAATTCCATTTTCAATAGAGTTCTGTTTTTTTTAGTTGTTTTCTTTTGCTTGAGTAATTTTGTGGTAATTGCTCTTATCATACATTTTAAAATGTTTATGGGAAAATTGCGTTTGCTCTAAATTGAGTATAAACTCTTTAAGAAAACGGCTTACAACACTTGTTTTAGCCAAAAGCTTAAGATTAGTCTATCACTCAAAGCTGTTTATACTGAATATATAAATCTAATGTTTTCTTGATCGCTCTTTATCATGTTAAGAGTATTCACTACTAGAAATTCGGTAAAAACCGATCAAAAAACCGACCAAAAAACCCGACCAAAGTTGGTCAGTAATGACTGTGACCATTTACGTGTGGACGGTAGTTTAGAGGTCGGAAAAGAATACCGACCAAAGTTGGTCGAAAATTACCGACCAACTTTGGTCGGTCAATTAAATTCAAAAAAAAAAAATATTGCAAAAAAAAAAACCGACCAAAGTTGGTCGGTATTTTAATTATGTAATCAAAAGATTTACCATCTAGGAATCGAACCGGGGTGTGTACTGTGGCAGGATACTATTCTACCACTAGACCATTGGTGCATTTTGTTTTAAGACTGTCTTTTATTTGATTTATACTCTTTAATTGTATTTTCGCACGAAAATAACCGATCAAAGTTGGTCGGTTTTATAAAAAGTAAAATTACCGACCAAAGTTGGTCGGTTTTTTTAAATGACCGGCTGAATTAACCGACCAATTTTGGTCGGTTTTTTTAATATTAATTTTTATTTATTTTAATTGAAAACCGACCAAAATTGGTTGGTTTCTTGAAAAATAAATTTTGCGGGACTCAAAAATAGTTTCCCGCATTTTTGCGCCAAAGAAAACCGACCAAAGTTGGTCAGTTTCGTAAAAAAAATAAAAAATAAAATATTTTGAAAAATCGACCAAAAAACAGACCGAAGTTGAACTTTGGTCGGTTTTTTGACCGAATTTCTAGTAGTGATTTTTGAATGACTTTTCCCAACACACTACAATACTAAGTGAACTTTTAAATGTTTTACTGCTTTTCTAGGATTAAGTTTAGGAATTAACATTCAACATAACATTTGATATTGCGCTAATTTTTTTTTTAATCTCTGACCCCATATTGTATATGTATATGTATATGTATATACTCTTTGAAAATACATTCAAAAAACAAATACAAAAAACTCTTTGTACAAGAAAAGCTGAAGCTATACTTTCTCTATACAAGACTAAAAACATGGAGATATAAATAATCCCCAGACCTTCTCTCTTTCTTGTTCACGTTGATTTGATTGCAGATCTGAATATATTTCCCAGTTTCTTGAAGAACCCAATTAGCGGATTCTACACGTAGTGGCGGATCCAACAATGAGTTTGCAGATTCGGCAGATCTAATCCAGTACTTTGAAGCCGAACCTTATACGGTGTGTCGTGAAAACACAAGTAGATAGAGTTAGATAAATATTTCAGAACTTTTCGAACGCAAGACCAACCCATCATCTAAATTCTGGATCCGTCACAGTCTACAAAGATGCTAAACCTTTAGCTTCAGATCCTTTCATAATTCTAAGCCTTTTGCAAGAGTTGATAAACATATCCCAAGGTACATCACCAGCAAGCATCCAATCACCATCTTTGTCTTCATAAGTTGGTACATAATCAGATCCATTGTAACCTTCTCTTTCTGAGTATACTCCTGAAATTCATAGATAAAAAAAAAATACATAAGACTTAATTTGATCCATCAGTTAAATTTATATATAGTAGGACTATATGAGAGGCAGATCTATGGAAGGTTAATTCGGTAGATTCAATTGATACATTATTTTCAGCTAGATGTGGGGGGAAAAATTACTATACTCCTCTTATCCCAGTTTATATTACATATATGCAGGTAGAATATCGAGAATCAAACAGTTTTTTTTTAACCGTAATTTTTTATATGCCTTTTAAATATCTTAAAATATTAATTATTGTAACTTTTATATTTTTATATAGTTTTCAAATATATAAAGAAATTTAACTTTTAAAATTCGAGTTATATCACATAAATTGAGACAAAGTGATAATATATAGGACTCTAAATTTTGAAATATTAACTTACCAATGGAACACTTGAACATGTTTTCTAAAGCCTTGAGTAACTCTGTGTAGCTTTTGTAAAGATTAAGGTCAATTTTTCTAAGGTAAGCTGCTCCATCCATGCTAACTTTCACGTAGCTTGCTTGTAAAACATTCTTTCGGTAAGATCGAACTGGTGGCCAACCAACAACTTGTGCTCTGAAAATTATCAAAACAAAAATTGTTTATTAAACATCATCAAATTATTTTAAAAATTAGAAAGCTGTCATATTTTCTTTTTTGGAAGCTGTCAAACGGAGGGAGTACTTACTTTGATGTGGATTCATTATTTTTTCCATTATCCATCTCTGATGAAAGTCTTTTGTTGCTAACTTTAGCAGCAATTAGACTAGTAGAAGATGCTGGTTTTTCCACTTCATTATCTGACCCAGGTAGACCTAATCTTAGCTCAGTTGCCTTTAAATTTAGATCATCTTTCTCGTACGTTGCAGCTGCCATTTCTATTCTTGGATTAACTGATAACTTCTTTGATTGTTCGTTTCCGATGAAATATTGAAGTAGTTTCGATTAAGTTGTATAATAAAACAGATGAAGAATTTGGTTGCAAGTTGTGAATATGATGAATGAGAAGGGAACGTGGGACTTAATTTTTATAGGATGATAAAGAAGAGACAATCCGTAGACGACTTATTCTCTTTGTGCATGAATTTCCTAACACGCCAATTATTACTTCTTCACGCCCTTACTACCCACGCGCTCGCTACAAATCAATTAAATTTTAAAAAAAATGTCATTGTATAATCGCTCTTGGAATAACAGTCGAATAAGATATATTTTTTGTATATATAAATATTTTTTATACTATATACAAAAATTATATAAATTTTATATATTTTTTCAGCTACCAAATACAAATAATTTTTGAAGCATGCTGATAATACCTCATTAAATTGCTCTATCGACTTTTTTAGTCTTTCACCCGATTTTAGGTATTCACTTTAGAGTCCCGAATATTTTGAATTTGTATCTTATAAGGGTCATTAAAAGGAGAAAGCACTTTATATCATAATTCTTTTTAATTACTTCAACTCGAAACCTTTAGTTAAGATGAATTGGACCATAATCCTTGTAGATTCTCTCAGTTTTATTTTATGTCACTATCTTTTTAGCACTTTTTCTTGTCTATTTATTTAATACTCTTTACTTATCGATTTAATTTAAAATATGCCTTTTATAAATTTAAAAATATTAACTTTAAATTTATCATTTTATCTTAATGATATACTTTAATAGCCATAAAAATAACATAAAACATTCAAAATTATAAATTTTAAAATTCTCGTATTCTTTCTAAAATTCCTTACCCAATCAAAAGCCACCATGCAAATTAAAGCGGAGAGAGTATATTTCATAAAAATGGTCTCTTTTATAAATTTTGGACTATATAATTTAAACAGCTATGCAATAAAAACACATATTCCCTCTATTTCAATTTATGTGAACTTATTTCCTTTTAGTCAGTGTAAAAAAGAATGACTCATTTTCATATTTATAAATAATTTGATACAATAATTTATAACCACGCAAAATATATGTAACTCATTTTATACCAAATATTCAAAATTCTTTTTTATTTTTTTTAAGATTCGTGCATAGTCAAATAGGATGAAAGGAATGGAATATATAACATATTTAGAATAACAAGCTTAATTTGTTTTTAAAAGATTAAAATAACGGGGAGGAATGAAAAGTGAGGTGGCACGTGTATTTTACGCGAGTTTGGCTTAGAATGGTCCCAGAACACGGGTTCTTAGTGACTGTGTCGGTCACATGAAGGACAGGAATGAGTCGACTGAAGTTAGATGAGGGAACATAGAACAGACACCGACAACTTGAGGTATTTAAGGTGGTGGTCCAGACAATGGACGGTCCAGATTTGGTGTACTGGGATTGATCGAGTGAATTCAGGAGCGTTGGATCATGCGGAAATCTTTAAAGGATGGTGGGTCAAAAGTCAAAACTCCCCGCATGTGAGGGTGGGTCCCAAGCGTTTTGGTTTGATGAGGTTTTAGGTATGGGCACATAAGCTATAATAATGTACCCAAAAAAATATGAGCTGCAATTTTTTTATTTTTTTAAATATCTATTTGATATTCTTATTCGAGCTCTGATTAATTAGTAATTACTCAGTAAAATTGTGCTTTTTTGTGATCAAAAGTATTTTTTGTCAAAAATATTTTTTTCCAAAGTTAAGATATTTTGCCAAACTTTTAAAAAAGAAAAAAAATACTTTAAGTAAAAGTAGAAGTAATTTTTTAGAAGTACAAAAAGTAGGTTCTCCCAAGAGTAATTTTTTTTAAAGCATTTTTGATTAAAAAAAAAATACATATAGAAATATTTTTTCTTAAAATTCTGGCCAAATACTAATTATTGTTCAAAAATATTTTTCAAATTGAATAGTCAAACAAAAATTGCTTACCATCAGGAGTAATTTTTTTAAAAGTACTTTTAAGAAAAATATTTTTCAGAATTAAATTAATCTTAGAAGTGCGGCCAAACATGCTATAAAATTACTAAAAGGGAAATGCTCCTTATGCCCTACCAATTTGTTTTTTCTTTTGCTAAAATTAGAACCAAAAATTATTAATCAAAGAGGGAGGGATTATATTCATCCCATCGTAACTTAATGGTAAATGTAAGTTACATGAATTATGATTAGTGGAAACCTTCAACTTTGTTTAGAATTTTATATTGTTACTAGTATAGTTTATTATATTAATTTTAACTGTAATAAACTCCGAAGTGATAATAATTGTGTAATTATTTCACACGCAGTAATTACGTCGATGAACTATACTTTATTTAATTACATTTTTTAATACCCGACCATAGATTAACTACCATATAAACAAATGACACATGTTGCTTTAAATCCCAAGTTCAAGGAATTCCGATGAACATGAGACAGAGTGTGCTGCTGTTGGGAACTTGGGTTTTCTTTTTTGTTGCCCACAGTTTGCTAGTAATTCGACAAAACCATGGGATTAATTCATTCTTTTCCATTCAAAATATATAGAGAACCGTAATATTTAAATTTAGTGGACTGACTAAAGCGAGATTAATTTTACTGATGGTCATCCAACTTATCATTTATTTCATAAAAATCACTTAACTATTTTTCATCACTTAAAAATCACTCAACTTTACCGTTGTAACTTAAAAGTCATTCTAATTCAAAACCTACAAAATATCCAATAAAAAATATGACATGCATTACATTTAATTAAAAAATCTAACAATTATATCACATAAGTTTAAATAGACCATATCTAAATTAGACTCATTTCTTCTTCAGCACGATTTGACCTATAACCCAAATGAGTTTTAATATTTTGACGATTAGAAGGAAAAGAAGAAAATAATTATTTTGTGCTAAAAATATCTTACTTAATTTGTTACGTAATAACCTTAATACTACCACCTATAATTTCATTAAAATTATGAACAAAACTAACACATAACCAATTTTTTCATTAGTCATATCATTTTATAATTTTTCATGAAGTTAAAATACTACCATATCAATCTCACATAATAATTAAATGCACCAATAGCAGACAAGAACAACAAGCTAATAAGAACCTATTTTCACAAATTACTATTCCATTAAAGTCAAAATATTGCTTATTAAGCAATACTAACAGATAAAAATACTGCTCAGTGAGAAACACCCACAATAAAATTGCATAGTAAAAATTGTCAGTACACACCAAAATCGTAGACAACATATAGCGATAATTTGGACAAAAGAAAGAGACAACATATTGTGTCATTGACCGTAAATGTACTACCAAAACTTAAAGATAAATTCAAAAGACCTAATTTTTCTAAAATTGCTTAGACTTCTTTTTCTACAAATTAATCATAAAATCAAAGTGCTAGTCCAGTTAATTGTTCAAATATTAATAATCCATTTTGGTTATAGGTCAAATCGGAATGGGTCTAACTTAGATATGGTCTATTTAAGCTTATGTGTCATTCTTGTTAAATTTTTTAATTAAATGTAATGTCATGTCATATTTTTTATTGGATATTTTGTAGGTTTTGAATTAGAATGACTTTTAAGTTACAAAGATAAAGTTAAATGACTTTTAAGTGATAAAAAATAGTTAAGTGACTTTTGTGAAATAAATAATAAGTTGGATTACCATTAGTGAAATTAACCCACTAAAACGTAAATGAAACAGCTAGCCGCCGTTGTCTGCGATTTAACAAAGTATTTCATCCACAAGATTCCTTCTAATCACACTAATCTATTGCGAGCTCATACAACAATCGTATAATAGAAAAAAGACCAAAGAACCATCGAAGATTAATACGGCGAAATTAATATGGATCCCCATCTTGGCACGCCCCAACCTCGGGAAGCGCGGCCGGCGCTCAACTGAGTGAACCCGGCTAAGCAAGCCTGTTAGATACTTTCTACCCATTTCACCCATGATCAAGACAAGACGTGATTTCATTAATTAACAGTAGGAAGCTCATTCATACAATCCTAAATCGTTTCATTAGACATTGTGCCTTTAAGTCTCAAAATACATATTTCTTATAGTTCGAGCGGAACAAATGATCAAACACAACATAACTTGTTTAGCATTCCCAACACCCATATACAACCCACATAGTGTCTACGGAGCCTCTAAAGATACAAAAGAGAGTAAAGATGGTGCCGACAACAAGGCCCCGGCTATACCTTAAAAAGTGACCGCAATATAAACAAAAAGTATAATACATGACCCCGAAATGAAATGGGGCTCACTGAGTCCGCTGAGAAGAGAATGCAGTACTATCTGTGATCAACACTGTCTGCTATGTAACCACATGCATCCATTTAAAGATGCAGCGTCCCCGGCAAAAGGGACGTTAATACCGTCGAATAGACTAGTATGTAAAGCTAAACGCCAACTCAATAGAATGAATAATAATACAAGAGGAACAGTCAAGAATTCAATAAGGGTTCAAATAATATTAAAACAACAAGTTAAGGATCATATACGTTTTCAAGTCAATTTCCATATTATTAGGTTGGGTGATTTTTAACACCAATATCTCACAATTCACAATATCTCCGTATTCTTACACGAAGTCCGATCTCGGCCCGATTGGCTAGGCCATCTCATTTGAGACATTACCATAATTTCATTATAATGTTCATTACAGTACCACCATGTGTGCAGCATGGCGTCCGATACAACCACATTAGGAAAAGCCAATTCAATAATGATCAAGGACTTACTCCAATTACATGAAAATCGTGGGATTCGATTCTAAGAAAAAAAGGAGGAGGGGAGGGGGGGTTAGCCAACATACCTCAATTGAGCTTCTCAAACTCTAAAATGATCCGAAATTCTTAGCAACTTCAATCTATTTTATAAATATAACAAGTTGGACCAAAATTAGGAAGATGAACATGGTTTTAGCTCATTTGAGCATATTATCAAACACTAGGTGTGCATTAATGTTTTAAGGCCTTTTTTGTGAAATACTCCACCAACCCACACCCCATTCTTTTCTATCTTTAACTTACAACCTTCCTACATACCATAGGAACACATGCATGCAAGGTAAGAACTCACATCCTCATGAATTACCTTACTAATGGTCCATTCTAGTTATATTTTGAAATTAAGAGTTTTGATAATAGAATCTTACCTCTAAGGAAGAAGACCTAGGTGCCTCTCTTAATAATCCTCAAGGTTTTAAGTGAGAATTGAAGAACAACTTAATGAAGATCACTTCTCCCTCTAGGACCCTCTCTCTCACTCTAAAAGTATCAGAAAATATGATCAAAATGGTCCATGGTAGGGGTGTTCAAAATCGAACCGAAACCGAAAACCGAACCGAAATCGAAACTTAATGGCTTATTNCTATTCTCTATTACTAATTTACTATTAGACATTTAGAAGCCCTAACACCTAAATTTCAACCAGTAGCCACCAACACTCTATCTCATTGACTTCCAGTACTCTATCTAACGCCAAAAATATATATAGTAGTTTAACCACACAAATTAGTTTTAATTAAAATTTGAATCCAAAGTGACTAATTTTGCAATTGTTTCAAGCTCATCCCTTTAGAAGCCCAATTTCCATGACCCGCCTGGCCCAACCGGATCTCCCCTCTCTTTAAAACACTCATTTTCCCAAACCTTAATAAAAAGACAGACGGATCCCCCTTTGAAAACCCTAGCCGCATGGTCTCCTTCCTGACTCACCCATTCCCTTTCACGCAAAAGGAAACCGAGAATTCGCCATCATGCACACACATCTCACCTATAAAAAAAGTTAAAACAAAATCCCTGAATTCTCATTTTTCTACATCCGGATCTGAAGAAGAAAAACGAAAAAAAAAGATTAAAAAGGTTTTCTGATTTCTGTTGTGTTACTTGGAGAATTTATGGGTTTCTCATTTGTTTTTGGATTGAAGTTGAGGTCGACATTGCTGTTCTTCTGTTGTTTGCTATCAAAATGGTAGCTGAACTTCCTTCATCTCCATTTTTGCCTTTTATCAGTTGTTTCAAACTTTATTTGTCAAGTATTTTAGGTACACATTCCTGAATTTGTACTATTTCTCCATAAAAATGGCTGAAATCATGAACGAATTTGTTTCTGATGTTCCATCTCCATTTATGTGAATGTTTTTCTTAATAAATTGCTCATTAGACTTATATATGATTTTGTTAACGAACCAAAAGGATGACTGCCCATTTCAATTAAGTTTAGACCGTTGGAGTCTTGTTAAATATTAGTTAATTGAGATTAGTTTTTTTTATTTTTCGGAGTTGTTAATGGGCTTTAGGTGTATGCATACTAGTTAACAGTAGTATTTATCACAGTCTCTACTTTGTTGTCTAATGCTGAAATTTGGTGTATGCATATTTTTTATAGGGATCTACTCACTTATGGATTAAGCTGTTGTTTGAACTTTGAAGCTGCAGAAATTCAAGCACTGTTAGGCGTTAGTTGCATGACAAACATTTTTGTGTAGTTTGCTCACTTATGGATTAATCATTTTGAAGTATGTATTCTGAACTCACTTTGAATATAGACTGAAATTTTATCATTTCAGAATTAATCAGGGAGCATTGACTTTTCCTTTGCAGTTGTGGGCGGAGGAAAGACATATGTATTCTGGACTCGTCTGTAATGTAGTTTGCTTTGGGATGTAATGGACTATCTATTGTATTCTATAGACTGGAATGTAGTCTGCTGAGCATAGGAATTTTAGTTTGAGTCACAATGGTCAGCAAACAACTAATGCACGCAATATAGATTGAATTAGGCCGATAAATCGCCCAATAACCGCCTGATAAGGGCTAAACCGATACAAATCCGCCTGATATCTTATCGGGTGGATAGCGGATTAATACATTTAAAAGTCGATAACCGATAAGCCAAATCGTTAAGAGTAAATAACCGCTCAATCCGCCCGATAAGCAGCCCTAGTCCATGGGATATGTTATAACGAAATAGGATCGGGTTTAAAAATCCCAAAATTGAAGCTCCGTAACGGGTTTTGCGGTCGCATATGCGACCGCATAGTGGTTATGCAGCCCGTGAAATAACCGCGAAAATGGGTGCCAGAACTAGAAAAAAAAACGGACTTGGTCTGCGGTCACTATGCGGCCCGCAGACCTGTTTTGCGGTCACATAATGCATCGCAAAACGATTTTGCGGTCGCATAGTGCACCGCAGAACCTCATTCCGAAAAAATTCCAAGGCGGGATATGCAACAAGAATATAATGCGGCCCGCAAAACAGTTATGCGATCGCATAATGGCCGCGAAATGGGGCAGAAAAAATGCCCCAGAAATCTGCCACACTCTGTCCAATATTTTCCTTCAACTCCCAGCGCACTGTTCAATCCAAAAAGTTCGAACCGTGCTACTATTATTAACCTCTACGCCTACTTTAGCATCACATAATCCGAGTTTTTAGGAAAATTTTTAGGAAGAATTACACCTCTTGGCCCAAGAGCCCAACCTAAAATGGCCTAGGTTTGAAGTCCTTATCCGACTTGGCCTAGGTTGTATAAAATTTATTTTAAAAAAATCAACCTTTAGCCCATTATTAAAGACACACTTCTAGATTTTTTTCTTCTTTTCTTCTTTCTTATTTCCGAGAATACTCAATCTCTTTCCACTCGCCTCTCTCTTCTTTCTCCCTAAAAATTACAGAATTATTTTGTACACACACATGTTTATTGCTTTTGAGCACAAGGGATCCTCACATTCTATGTCAATAAGGTTTCAAAATTTGAGTTAATTGATAAAAAGAGATTAAGGAACCACAATAAATTTGGCCTATCAGTCCAAAAACTATTAGATTTTGCCTAAAAGAGCATCTCCGCTGACTCGTCTCGTATTTTCTTTTTTTTTTTTCTCAGTTTTTGTATCATCATTTGCTACTGGTGAAGCCCATATTTGAATGTCAAAACCTCGCCGGGAAAATTCAACACCAGAAACCACCCAAAGTTACAATGTAGTGATGGACAAAAGGTATTTTCTAGTGTAAATATTGTATGGGCCATGTTTATACACACTTGTATAATATTGTATAAATATGTATAAACGTGTATATCTGCGTACGATGTTGTATAAATTATCTATGTTTTTAATGTATAAGTGTGTATATACATTATACATGTATAATAAGCATCCATGGAAGTTTAGCACTTTCTCCTCTTTTTCTTCTTTGTCTTATTTTTCTGGTATACATTATTAGAGATTGTATATATAAGTTTATACAAAGTTATACATAATTATACATGTAATGCACGTGTGCAGTTAAATCTAAAATTGAAATTTTCACATGTTCAATTTTTATTTTTTCTCGAACAATTTATGTATAAATCGACTTTTCTTGTTGATTTATCTCCCAAATCATGTGCAACAGTTTTTTCAATTTTTATTTTTATTTCTGCTATTTGAAACTTGAAAAAGAAGAAGATTTAAGGTTCTCGAGTTGCATTATATATAAATTTGCTTTTTTGTAAATGGAATAGGAATATAGACAAACTTGAGGAAGAAGAATAAAAAATCACCCAATTTTCGTGCTTGAAGATCTGTTGAATAAAAAAAATAAAAAATAAAAAATACTCATTTTTTGAACTTTGACATATTGTTAATGGGCTACAGATTTGCAAAGTTGTAACTGGGTTATTCTGCTGCAATGTATGTGGGTGGACTGTATTTTTGTGTAATTCTCCCAAAATTTTATGAGGTCTTACACATCTTTAACGAAAGATCTCAGTAATTCACACGAATTCAAATTAATTGGTACTCAAATAAGAACACCTAACATTAGGTGGAAAAGCTTTTGAGAATTAATGACATACCTAACTTTGTTCATATAACGTTAAACGTTCTACTCATAAAATAAATATGAAAGGAGCAAGAATTAGGAAACGAATGAGAAACCAGGACAAGTCTGTTGTCCCTAGGTTTAAATGTTTTGATCGTACCCTGGCAAATTTCATCCACATACTGAACTTTTTTGGGTGCCATTATGCCAATGAATTCGCAGTCCCTACAGCTAATTTTCAGCATAATATAGCTGTAGCTTTGACTACATTCTCACCTCATTTTCTCTTCAATAATGCATCTAATATTTTTTTAATTTTTCGCTCCATGTTCGATATTTATTTTGAAACTCGATTAATCTTAATTCGCGTCAGAAAATTTCACTTTGCGGGTAAAATACTACCTATCAAAAACGATTTCATACTCAAATCATAATTCTGAGACTTTTGATTAATGATCGAGGAGTAATTATTACTCCACCACAACCTAACCTAAGTAATGCGCCCAATATTAATTATATGTAAGACAAGGTCATAATCTGTGTCTCTTTCTTTTAATATTATCAACTCATAATTTCTGATAAGCATTCAATATATTATCGTAACATAAAGTGTAGCTTAAAGACTTGATTGTGTAACGTCGTCTTGCTACTTTATCCCACTTTTTCCAGAATTGTTTCATTTCTAGTTAAACATACGATCCCCAAGATAGTGTATTTGTTTTTGTTTTAGGATTTCAAATGGAAATGTAAAATGATACACTCCGATCTCATATATTATTTAGTCATCTTGAGGAATCAGTTTATTTCCAAATATTTGAGGTTATAGAAATACAAAAAGATATGACTTGGAAATATAATACACAGTACATCGTTCTTTTTTGTTTAACGTTGTATTTACATGAACCGACACGCCTCAAACTTTTGAAACTTAGGTCAGAAAATTAAATTATAAACCCTAAAAGAAACAAGCTAAGACATTCTCATATCCAGCAAAGCTATATTTTGGGTTCCCTTTTGTGGGGATGTTTTTATATACCATAAGAACAACTAATCAAAACAAAGAAGCATTTTATTAAAGTATTTGTCACGTTACGTGTTTCTGTAGAAACTGATATATATGCTTAATTAGCATTACCTGTATGGTAGCTGGTATATAATTGAACCTCCAACCCGCTACCCAATTTTTTAAATTTTCTCATCCAGTGTGATACTCAATTTAGAGCCGAAAATATATTTAATTACCCTTATTAATAATTAATAGCCAAAAAGACAAATGTTTTTGTAAATTATGACCAATACTGGTATATAAGTAGTTTCAACTTTCAAATCTAAAGGTTAATCGTACTCTAAATTTGAAATAAGTAGAAGGTTTCTTGGGCTGCCCTACCACATCTTTGGATGGTCTCTCGTCTATACCGCAACTCTTTTTTGCAATATTGCTAAAAGATTGCTTAACATAGAAACCAGACAAAAGAGGGCCCACTTCTTTGATTAACTAGGAGATAAAACTTGTAAACTATTGGCACAGTATGAACAATCTCATTTGCAATATAATTGCTCTCAAAGCAACATCAAGCATCTTCTAAGAAAAAAACTAACTATATTTCAATCTTAAGTTAGCCTGAATCGGTTATATAAATTCCGAATGACCATAACTCACTAACTAATCTCATTTCAATCCAATAGATATTTACAAAATCTTTGAATAAAAACTAGTGCTAAATAATTTGGAGGGATTGGAAGGATAATGTGTAAGACAAACGAAAGAAGAGTAGCAACTAGCAGAAGGATAAAACTTTGCAGAGAACAATGCATGTGAAATACCACCGAGGATTATGGTGAGATGTGTAGAATTCTATCCTTAATCAGAAATCTCGATTTTGAGTACGAAAAATAAAATAAAAAATCCTCATAACAAGCTATACTTCCTTTAATTGATCTTACTAAACGGAGGCAGAGTGGGAGATGCGAGTTCGTCCGAACGCAGTAGCTTTTGTTCAAACCATATATTTGTCATAAGAAATCCATCAAATATGTATAACTTATTAATTTAAAAATCGATAACTTAAAAGGACTACAATCCCGACCTCATAAGGTTCAAATCTTGGCTCCACCTCGGACCTATACGAGAACAACATATGTGGAATGAGTTAAATCCAAAAAAGAAAAGGAATGAGTTGAATCCGAAAAGGCAGGCACGTATGAAGTATTAAATGGCGATAGGGAGATGTGGGCCTAGCCGCACGTGTAATTGAGTTCTGGACTTTGGTACCATTTGGAATACTTACCTTTCTTGTCTGTAGGCATGGGTTGGCTTTGGGTCAGTCTATGGCCCATTATCATGTTGTGTTTATCCTTATCCAGTTATTCCACCCCATGTTCATGTCCACCATTGATACATCAAACTCCCAAGACACAAAGCATTCTATTTTATATGGGTAAAAATGAAAATTATATAATTAAAAAGGTAAAAATTCGATCCTAAGGAGATGTGTGTGCAATTCTTTTTTTTTTTTTTGGATAAACGTGGTGTCCCGGCCAAGTTATGCACACCTCGACTAATTCAAAGAAATAACTGTCACCTCCCACTAACGAAAGAAATTCAAAAATAGCCAGATTTACATATGGTAATTGAAAAATAACCACAGTTTCAAAAGTCATCAAAATTTAGCCACTTTTCATGTAAAGATAAATCTGAACGAAAATACTATTCAAAATCCGAAAAATATTCCAATATATTATACTGGAACTCCAGCATAATATACTGGAGTTCCAGTATAATATACCGGTCCAGCATAATATGCTGGAAGTTCATATAAAGGTGCTCCAAACTCTAGTATATTATGCTAGAACTTTTTGCGTGTTGGAGTTCCAGCATAATATGCTGAAAGTTCATACACAGGTGCACCAATCTCCAGTATATTATACTGGACCGGTTCGTGTTGCAGCAAAATA